TGTTACTGATAATCGATTCATGGGGTTTTCTTGTGCTTCAAACTCTACGTGAACTAAAAAATTAGAAGTAGATTGTTTTCCGTAACATTTCTGAGTGGTAGAAATTTAGAAAAATAATTAACGCGACAAGTGTGACTCTAATCTGTGATAGAAATTTGGAGGTAGTAACTGGCGTTCGCCTAGCGTAAACGCGGCTTTACTCCGTGCAAATACGGCCGCCTTGCCGGATGAAAAAAGCGCGCAGCACTTTTTTTCCCTTTTCTGTCGACGCGGTCAGCTCACCTTGATAATGCGAGATATCACGCGAATACACCAACAAACGAGTGCATGTATGGAGAGAGAAAAAAAAAGGAAAAACGGCACGGGCGGCCTGGGAGGGGGAGGGGAAGAGGCCAGTGGGTATCTATAACTGAACACTGCGGTTCGCGCGAATATGCGAGTCTGCGAGGAAAATTAAATATTATACGCGGTTTCTCGAGTGAATTTTTTTTAGCTTTTCTGTCGACAATTGAATTTGTTGCAACCCCGAAAAACAGTAAACTTGGAGAATGCGGAGAACACGTGTATTTGGAGGCCGTGGATTTACTTGCGATCAATTTACGAATTTTGATGGTGGAATTCATTTTTTTTTGTACGTTTAGAGTTTTGGTAGAAAATGTAGGAATGAATGGGCCTAACTTACGAGTTATAAAGTATAAAACAGGAAAATTGAATTAGCGTTTGGTTACAAGCAAAAGAATCTATCGATAGAATTATTAACCGAATTATACATATTACAAAAGCTGCACGAATAAAATATTGTGAATACTGGGAAATTCGACAATGCAGCACCGACTAAATATTTTTTATTATCAATTTATCTCTCGTACTTGACGTGTATTACAGCGACCTTTAATTTAATAACCAATATACTACAACCAACTCGAACTGTTGCAAAAGTCACTTCTGAGCAATGAAGATCTGTGATGAACAATTCATTAAAAACTGATTGCATGTGAAACACAAATGGATTGATATTATTTTTTAAATAACATATTTTATTTTGAAAATATCGGTGTTTCAATGATAGGTTTTTATTCTCTTGTGTCACTCTATCCAAATGGAAAAGTAACAATTAATCACGGATGTATTAGTTGTTTTAAAAAATTAATTTATTGGGTAAATCAACTGCGGTAGGTCAGAAGCAACTATAAAAACAATTCTAGAGCAACTACATAAAGAAGGTATTGGTATCAGAACATAAGTCACTAGTTACCACTGAGTGAAAAGTGGAGAGGTATACATCAATATTAAACCTCTAGGAAGCCTAGGAGCAACTATAGAACAAAGGTATAGCTACCATAGCCCAGGCCATTAGTCATCAACTAACTCAAGTCTGGACAGATAATAATACATCAATATTATATGTCTAGGAAGTTTAGAAGCAACTATAAGACCAATCTAGAGTAACTCTGGAGCAAACATAAAGCAACTATAAAACGATTCTAGAGCAACTAAACAACAAAGGTATTGGTACCAAAACATAGGCCACTGGTTACTACTGAGTGAAGCCTGGATAGATAACTATACATCAATAGTACACGTCTAGGAAACCTAGGAGCAACTATAAAACCAATCCAGAGTAACTATGGGGCAAAGGTATAGCTAGCATAACTCTAGCCATTAGTTACCAATGACTCAAACCTGGACAGTTAACAACACATGAATATTAAATGTCTAGGAAGCCTAGGAGCAACTATAAAACCAATCCAGGGTAACTATGGGGCAAAGGCATAGCTAGCATAACTCTGGTCATTGGTTACCAATGACTAAAGCCTGGACAGATAACAATACGTAAATATTACACATCTAGAAAGCCTAGAAGCAACTATAAAACCAATCTAGAGTAACTACAGAACAAATGTATATACCACCACAACTCAGACCATTAGTCACCAACTGACTCAAGTCTGGACAGATAACAATACATCAATATTACGCGTCTAGGAAGCAATAAATGACAGATCAATATTAACAGGACCATAAAGCGACAATAAAAGGACGATAAAGCGTCCACAAAACAACTTTAAATCGACTCTAAACCGCGTATAGTGCCCCGCAAACGTCCACCAACGACGGCACCTCGTCGGATACGGGCTCTGAATAAAACTTGTCGCTCCTTGGATCCCCGCTGAACAAGATCGCCCCTTCTCGCGATCAACCGGTGCCCCGTTCGACGCGACCGCTCGAGATCCTGGCAACCGCATATCCCAGCTAAATTCGAAAAGGTCGATATTTCAAATGCCAGCATCAGGGGTTAACCGGGGGCTATTTTGAGTGTACCGTACGGCATGTAGGACCTGAACACACCACCCGTCAATAATCCGCTGAATAAACTATCGTCCGTCCGCCCACATGGCCACCCACCCGTCCACCACAACTCCACTCAACCGCCACGTACAGCCAGACATATATCACGTAGGTGGCGCGCGTGTGCGCGGGTTCAGGGCGACGCTGTCCCCCTCTCCCTCCCTCCCCCCATCCCCCCTCCACCGCCCATCCAACGTCGGTGAGCGCGGGGAACGTGCTAATATATGTACCGCAGGCGCGGCTGGACTAGCGTACGTGGTGGTTCGCGTGCACGGCTTCTCCAGCATGTGTGTGGGAAGAGGGGGGAACGCCACAGGGTGGAGGCAGAGGGAGCCGTAAACTCGACCAGAGACCAGTCACGAGGGAGATACAACGATGGCTACGACCCGAGGAAACGAGCAAAGTTCCGCGAATAAAATAATAATTTTGTTGCGGCGTTGTCCGCGGCGTTCGGCTCAAAATTCCGTCCCCGAATTGTGCCCCGCGAGCGAATTGCCCGCGCGAAGAGGGCTCTTCGAAGTGGAAGCGGCGCACCGTAGCTCCGACTCGCTCTATCCCGAATCTCGACATTTTTTCGGACGGATTTTTATGATATTTAGTTGTATTTGTAGCTTACAAAACTTATTGCTGCTGGTAGTAGTTTACGGGAGGAGATAGAGCTTGCAGGTTTTTTATATAATGATTGTGGGATTGTTTATAATCGTTTCTGAAACTTATAGGGGCTCGAGCTATTTGTGGTAGCGTATAGTGGATGTAGTGGTACTATATAATGGCTCTAAAATTGTTTTATAGTTGCTTCGTTTAGCTGGTGCAAGGGGTAGGGGTACATGAATATTGTATACAACGTAGTAGTTGCACCCTTTTGCTAAATAACATTTGTTACACCTCTTATATATACCAAGAAAATAAAAATAAAAATTTTTCAATAAGTTTGAACTCTATCTATAGATGCTTTATACCAAGCAACATTATACTTGCAATTATAGTTTACATATAGTTGCTCCGTTACGAATTTACATCATTCTGAATTCACCTGTTGCCAAACAACTTCTGGGTTTCTAAATAAATTATGGACGGTCGCTATGGCAAAAGTATCAGTGTCTCGATGAACTATGAACTATCGCAAGCGTATCCGTAGTCTCTAAATAAACTGCGCGATCAATTTCGCCCAGGCATTTCGAAACTGTGATCCTCGTCAACGTGGTCAATTCTACCTCATCATTTTCACCGCATTTTGTTTGTATCCAAGCGTCATTCGAATAGTCGCTAGCAAGTGTCACCTACATACGAACAGCGCGATGTATTATTGACACCGCAACCCCCAATGTAGCTCGCCACCGTCGACTCCCCTTTGTGCCCTCCCTTGTTAGAAATTGGACAGGTATGTGCTCGCGTACACGTATACGCGATGCATGTATATGCACATACATGTATATGCACATATATGGATCCGTATACCGGGTGACGTTCCACAAACTATGCGCGCCCAATAAATTTTTCCGAATGTTTTATTCGCCCGTGTCTCCTTCTCGCTACGAAATTATAAGCTATACAAGACAACGAACCCGTACCTGTGCGCCCGTTAAATTTGATCGATTCGACAACAATAAATTCGTCGTTCGGTTTCACGATGAATTTGAACCCTTCGTGGTCGTCTATAAAAAAAAAAACAACAATGCTACAATATATAAAATAGTCCGACGGACAAACTGCATCCTACGATAAAGAACCGAGACTGATCGTGCAGCTGTAAATAAGGTCTTGTTACTATGCCAGCAATGGAAAGACGCGAAACATTCGAATCGAAAATGCGAAATGGAAGTTTTTTGTGGGAGGCTTCGTTTTCGATAAAATCGGGTTCGAATGCGTTTGAGGCACGCGCTCCCAGACAAGAAATGGTGGAAATACGTGAAATATTGGAATATATATGTAAAACTGAATCGAAAATGTGAAATGGAAGTTTTTTGTAGGAGGCTTCGTTTTCGAGAAAATCGGTTTGAATGCGTTCGGGGCATGCGCTCCCAGACAAGAAATATTGGAAAGTACATGTAAAACTGAATCGAAAATGTGAAATGGAAGTTTTTTTGTGGGAGGCTTCGTTTTCGAGAACATTGAGTTTGAATGTGTTTGGGGCACGCACTCGTCTCGTTAAATCACTACGTTTAAGCTAATTCAGCGTGACTACAAAGCACTTATAGCAAAACCATGCGACTATAGAACAATTACAAAAGTATGCGATTATTTAAAGCAAATATAAGAAACTATTCGTAGAACTTTATGAAGTAACTTCGAAGGAATTTCGAAGAAATTTCCTTGCAATATGTACTGTTTATGTAATATGTTTAAAGACGCATAAGATGACCGATAGCAGAACTTTGGAGCGAGATACAATGACATTGTAAGCGATTTCTGTATGAATACAATGAAAATTTTAATACGAAAATATTAAGAATGTGCAAATGGCGTAATTATTTGACAACCACAACGTGACTATAACGCGTTAGCGCGATATCCGTGAAACAACGTAAAAGCGACTACAAATAAAGTACGAAATGACCTGTGCAGTCGTTACAGGGCAACATTTGCATAATTCTACATAAACATCAAACCATTTAAAAAGCAACTTTGTTGCGTAGAAAAGGTGTACTCACTATACAGGGTGTCCCACTCAACCGGGCCAGGCTGTATCTTTGAAAAGAGCCAAAAGGCAAGAGATTTAGATTGCTCGCTGCTAAAAATGGATTAATCCTTATGATAAGGATATTTATATAAACAATACTACACATTTTATATATAAATACTAATATTTTGCGCAATTACTATCAAAATATATTTAAAATTCGTAATTCTCTTTTGATATACATATTGCTCTAAACATATTACGATAAACACGTCAGTAAATTCAAAACAATTAAGTTCTATTCTCGAAAGAATTACAATTGCATTTTACAAATTAACACAGGTGTAAGTACACAGTAATGCCGGAAAAATGTAAATCATGAAGTATAAATTTCATTTTGTATGATTAAAGTGTCATTTATGTAAAGGAACACTATATAGAGTGTCCTAAAAATGTTGTAACATGCCTTTCAAGGTGTTATAACATTTTTGGGACACCTTCTATAGAGTTTTAAAAACAAATGGCTCTTTACCGAGATAAAATTCTCGCGTCGATATGGATCAAAAAGTCGTTTTCCATTTTTCAATCTGAGACCTCGTTATCGAGATATAAATAGTTGAAATCCTGTCGCACGGACCTGCACAACTAGCGCGTGAGTGTGCATGATCAGTAGCCAATCACGACAGCTGCGCGATCAGCTGACTGGGGTTCAAAATGGCGTGCGCCAAGGGTCGCATGCCTAAAATCTAATTGCTTATATCTAGTTAACGAATCTACGGATTCTAAAACAGTAAAGGACTATTCAGTCTCTTTTCATGCAAGGAATTAATCCTGAGAAACTGTTCTACATTTTTGTTAACCCACTGTATATTATCCCTCCTTATACTCCACACGTCTAATTTATTTACTTCCTCTCGATAGCTAAACAGCCACCCCCATCTTTCCTAACCATTCGTTCGACTAAAGAGCCGGAAATCAATTTCGAACAGTTCTCGTAGATACGATTGAATGAAAACTTACAAGTGAATCATCTCCGATACACCCAGGCATTCCTGCCAATCTCACGAAGACGTACAAGAAAAGGGCGTTCCAGTCGAGGTGGTATGCAGTTATTCGCATTAAAAAATAACATTTCCTCGCGCGCGCGGAGCCTCCAGACGGTTTCATCGGTAATTTCCTGGATCCTCTCCGTCTATCGAAGCGAAAAGGTAGGAGCAGCCTCGAAGCTCGCGTACCTATGCGCATAAATAATGAAAATCCGCAGACTCGGTGTAATTACCAAGCCGGTGGCATCCGGTCTCGATTCCGACAATCGTCGCGAAGTTTTCGAGCCAACCGAGCGACGTATTTTTAGGGTACGGGAATTCAATTACGAAACCGGCGGAAAGACGCCAGATACGCCAGCTGCTATCTTCGGATCTCGATCTTCCAGCGGCCTCAACCGCGGCCCTTAACTCTCTCTCCCTTTCTCTCTCCCGTCGTTGGACCGGAATTATCCTCCGACAGTCAAGAGTCCTTCGCTTGGCCTAGGTCCGGGATTACTCGGCGATAATCGAATCCTCTCGCTGCTAATTGACTACGGGAGTAATCGCGAGTGAAACTTTCATGCCTCGCCCGATTCGCGCCGTTCCGTCTGACTGACAACCGACTCGAGCGGAAGGACTCAGGGGGCGGGAGGTTACCCGTGGCGATATTATCAGAGATGCTTCTCTTGCCGCGGGTAATTGAAGTAAAGCGAGAATCGTTCCCCGCTACTGGGTTGTCAAAGCAAATTTGCAATAATGGATCGCGGCATTTTTTGTCTTCCTTCAAGCGTCGACGATTGCCTCGGATAAGTCTGATTCCTCGGAACCTCTTATGCTGTTTACTTCGTTACCGATCGGCGGTCGATCGAGGCCCACTACTGCCCGCAAGCAACTCGGAGCTCGTGCACTCTTCGAGAAGAGAGGAATACCGCTTTAAAATGACAACTCTTAAGTCGAGTAACGGAATCGTGGCGACCACTGTTCGAGTTTATTGTGTCCAAGCCATTAACGAGAGAAGACAAGGTTTCCAATCGAATTTCAACTTCTTTTCTTGATGGGGGAAATGCTTCACTGTTTATACCAACCCTTTGCATTTGGAGCCATTTCTTTACAGAATGTGCTAACAGGAATCATGTTGCATCACATAATGTAACTTATAAAGCGTGTAATTTACTGTGATGAAACTCGAGCTTATATGAATCTTTATCACATATTAGAATAGAATCAAATTTTTATTTTTGACATAAATATGCTTCCTTGCTTATCTTCATAAATTGCACCATATCATGCAAAATATGTTCCCATATCTTACTTTCTTATACGAATGCTCTTTGTCACTTTTTTAAGGTGTAGTCTATTCACACATTCTTTTTACATGTAACACAAGCTCATATTTGTTGTATATATAGTATATACAGTATATGTCCCAAAAATGTTGGTGGTCCTTGAAAAGGGTGGTTCGGAGGACGATTTGAAGCAACTTTTTCCTTAGCGAAAATGTTGTCCGAGACTTCGTTAAGGAGATATTAACAGAAAACACCGACCAATCAGAGCGCGAGTATTCCGGTGGAACCGGACTGCCACAGTAGAAGAGAGTACGGCGCTATACAGCAGCAGGAGCATGAGGTACGCGCTAGGCGGCCGCAGTAGATAAGGTCCGCGCTAGACAGCCACAGGAGCATAAGGTACGCGTTAGACGGCCGCTGTAGTATAGGCTACGCGCCAGACGGCTGCGCTCTGATTGGTCGGGGTTTTCTGTTAACGATGCTGCTGCCAATACTTTGTTTTCATGCAAGTTATACAGAAACAGAGCGTCTAAATTAATATATAAATCTGAATAATCCATTTTATTCGATCTCGAAGTAACCTTCAACCTGAGACTCCATAACCTTGCTAGAATTCTGCTATCTACTCCTAATGAATCAATCCCTAAGTCCTGAATCCTTTCCATCATCTTTTCCTAAATGATTCAATGACTAAAGCAATCCTGTCCTAATCATCAACAATGGAAATTAAATACTCAACCACCACGCTTAGACTGGTTTCTCGAATACATTGTCTCGAACTATTTATTGTCTCGAATTACTCGCAGCTTGTCGAAACGAACCAAAACAATTCTCCCGCATAATTGCAGTCCTGATACGGCCATAAAAGCCACGGTCCTCTCCAAGGACCCTGTGTCTTCAAGGTGGGACAAGCATTGTCGCGTAACGTCGACCGATCTATTCTTTCACGCCGTTGGGTTGTTCAGGTAGCCAACAGCCTGTTTTCGGGCGTCAGTTTGTATCGGCTCCGAGGATTACAAACAGTGTCGTTAGCGATTAGGTATTTCACAGACTCAGGCTGCCTGAATTACGAGCCACCCTGGTCAGGTAGATTCTCTTCGTGGGCAACCTTCGAACGAAGCACTCCGTTACTCCGTTACTCCGTAGTTCGAATTTCCGTCCAAGAATGCGACTCGCGGCGATTCTGGAATAAATTTCGCGTCTTCCAACGCGAATTATAAGATTATTCGGCACACGTACAACGTCACTCGTCACGGTGTAATTACGCGAAGACCGCAAAACCGCGCGAACAAATCGAGCACGAGCAACCTGGTCGAGCACTTGTTCAATTCCAAAACAACATAATTCATCTGCTCGCGGTCGCCTTAATTATCTGCTCGAGCGCGTGACTAAAATTACGCGTCGGGTCGAGCCTTATTTCACAATGTCACCAGCCGTGTGATTATATCGATCCGCTGCATTCCAAGTATCGATACGTTTTCGCAACGACGCAAGACCGTGGTCTCGATCGGCTCGTAATTTCCTTCCGGCGGCCGGTTTCGCGTTATTTATCGCCGAATCGCGTGTCGTCGCTAATAGAATCGTCGCGCAAAAAGGCGACACTCGTTCGTGGAACTATCTTCGAACATCACACTCCGTTCCTACAGCCATATTACTCGCTAGTCTATTATTCCTCCGTTTCCTTTTCGTGCAAAATCAACAAAATGATGCGTCTATATATACGTACAACACGTTGAATTATGATTTCGTAAGAATTCTTAGGAGTTCGCAGGAGGTATTACTAAGCATATAGTAATCGAAATATTTCAGTTCCTGCAAAGTTCAATAAGTATGACTTTGATGCTGTGATATTTTTTGCATCGTTAAAAAATATTCAGACATTGGGTTGTTTCAGAAAGTTCGTCCCAATTTTTAAGAAAAATTGGAAAGCACACTTGAATATTGATATATATTTATTGAATTACATAGGTACCATTTAGTTCCACAACCTTTCCTCTTTTTAAGGAAATGTACCACCTTGTAAAAATCGACGTGGACTTTCCAGACAACCCAATATTTACCATGGTCAAGTGACAAATTTCAGGTAGAAAAGTGTTCATAATTTCCCAACACTAAGATTTCAACAATGGTAGTCCCTAGTTTCCTTCGGACTCTGATCAAATTCCAAACGCGGAAACTTTTAGTTAACTCCTGTGAACTCACGACCCCCATCCCAAATTACGGTCAGTTTTCCAGGCCACCTTATACATCACCAACACCGCAGGAACACCCAAGTCGAGCGTACAAGCGTGGCTGTCGGTACGTGTGCACGTGACTGTTGCAAAAAGAACACAGGACGTTGCATGTGGACGTCGATGCGGTGTACCTTGACACGGATGGCTCCCTGAATCAGCCGACAGCTAGCAACAAACATCACCTCGCTATCACACACGCCTACCGGGTATACCGCGGGAGCTCCGGCGACAACGGAGCGTGCGCGAGTGTGCGGCAGTTGACGAACGGCGCCGATAAGCCCGTCATCAGGCTGGCCAGACAAACGACGACGACGACTCCGTAGGAAATTCCATTTCCTCCGATTCGCGCTACAAGCACCAGCTCCTAATATTCGCCAGACCTGAGGTACGAACACGCATCCGTCGCATGAATCTCGCCTGGACGCGACACTCAGAAATGAGGGAGAGACTTAGATTTAGCTCGATGGTATTTAGAAAAGCCGGACGAAAAGGTAGGCTAAGAGAGAAGTGATCATCCAGTTAC